GTGGTCTGGGGGTGCGGGAATGGCCTTAGAGGGCAGTGACGCTGTGGGGTGGGGAAGGGGACTCAGCTGTCGGTGGGTGCTGGAGGGCAGCAGCCCCAGAGGTGCCCGTGAGGGAGTACGTGGGGTTGGTGGGTGGTGGAGGCTGCTGGCACTGGCGTGCTGAGCCCTGCCCTCACCGGGTTTGGGCTGCTAAGTGGTAAAAAGGCTTTTGTGTGTGTTTGAGCAGCTGTGGTGTGAGTTGTTTTTCTGCTTGCTTTTGTTTCCCCTGTAGCGCGGACATGGCGGAGCAGGCAGAGCTTAAGCAGGTGCTGATAAAGGAGCTGAGATCGCTGCTGATTGCTGCCAAAGACGGCTTGACCCCGGCCCAGCTGGAGCAGGAGTACAAGGCCATGATCGGCAAACCGCTCCCTCTGCATGATCTGGGCTTCCAGTCGACCTTGGCGCTGGTGGCAGATATGCCTGAAGTTGTCAGAGTCTGTCCTTCCAAGAAAGGCACTTTTATCCTCAAAGGTAAGGTGGTGTTTCCTTATGGGTGGAGGATTTGCTTGGTGTGGAGTGATGGTCCCGCACAGGGATGTGCAGATGAATTCCCGGAGCTGTAGGTCACGTATCTCTGTTCTTCTTTTTTTCGTGCAGCTCTGTTTAATTTCTTTTATGTATTTTTGATCTGCCCTTTAATGCTCTTCCGCTCACAGAGGCTTCTAGTTGTTTTTGTACGTTTTGCATTCTGCACTTAGTTTAGAAAACCTAGTAACGTTTCTTACGAGTACGCTAGAATTAGTAAGCGTTGCTGGTCCTGTAAATTCAGATTACAACAGGAGCCAAAACTGGGGTGAAGTCTTTCAGAAGAAGCTGTAAATGTTTCCCTACCAACCCCATGGGAAGTTTAGCCTGTATCAAAGAATGTTCTTTTTTTTTGTTTTTCCTTTGAAGAAGAGCTTTGGAAACTCATGGTGAATGCAAAGAGTTGATTGGGAAGGTTGAAATTATTTTTTTTTTTTAGAATGTTACAGTAAGACAAGAAAAAGTTATTTAAAGCCCTTTCCTGGGCAGGTGGGTGCTCTGTAGTGAGGGTTAATTGAGCCATTTACTGTTGTCCCAACAAAACTCACGGCAGCTGGGTTTCCTGTTGTGTTCCTGTATCTAAGAACCTGATGGGCCTTCCTGCCTGGATCTCGGTTTGTAGGGATGAGTGTGGAGTTTGGTTGTTGCCCGTTAAAAATGGCTCAGTCCATTTTGCAAAGGGAGAGGAAAAGTGTCCTGCTGGAAATCAGCCACGATTTAACGTGATTACTTTTGAAGACACTTGCTTCTAAAAAGGGTGGAGGAAGAGGAAAGAAAACGTTTGCCTCTGTAGAGCTTGTAATGGTTTGCTGTTAATAGTTTATTTCTTCCTTTTGTAGCTGTTGCAGATAAGACCACCAAAGGACTTGCCAAACTGGTTGCCAGGCAGAAAGATGGGAGGACACAGAAGGGTGCCGCTGCGAAGGCGGGTGCCGCTCCTTCCTGTAAGAACCCACAAAGATTCCCTCGCAGGCGCAGGGCTCCCGTCCTGCCAGCAAAAGCGAAGGTTGAGTTGCAGGATCTGTGGAGTCCCTCACGAGCCCCACCGTCAGACTTCGGTAATGCTGCCTTCAGACACTTTGCCTGAGGGTACATGCAATATGGATTTTTCTCTTTATTTGAAGTCCTCAGCAGTGTGCCCAGTATCATTGAGCACATAAGAGAAGAGCAGGTTCCTTGCTGACCCCAGAGTACCTGGCAAGTGGGAGAAGGAAAGGATGCCACAAGGTGGGCAGTGTGTTATTTAACTGAAAGCATGTAGCTCTTGCAAGCTGTGTGGCCAAGTGACTGTGTTTCAGGTGGGTGTTGCTGCATCTCCAGTTGCTATAGTAGTCCCAGTTACTCTAGGTTTTAGCACAGGAGGGCTGTGCTGAAGAAGCAGCTGTCCCAAGGGAGTTGTCTTGGTAGGAAATGCCAACGGCATCCTGGCCTGTATCAGAAATGGTGTGACCAGCAGGAGGAGGGAGGTGATCATGCCCCTGTACTCGGCACTCGTGAGACCTCACCTCGAGTACCGTGTCCAGTTTTGGTCACCACAGTACAAGAAGGACATCGAGGTGCTGGAGCGGGTGCAGAGAAGGGCAACAAGGCTTGTGAGAGGTCTGGAAAACATGCCCTATGAAGAGCGGCTGAGGGAACTGGGTTTGTTTAGTCTGGAGAAGAGGAGGCTGAGAGGAGACCTTATTGCCCTCTACAACTACCTAAAAGGAGGCTGTAGTGAGGCTGGTGCTGGTCTCTTCTCTCTAATTACTAATGACAGGACAAGGGGAAATGGCCCCAAGTTGCGTCAGGGTAAGTTTAGATTGGATATTCGGGGGAAGTTCTTTACTGAACGAGTGGTGAGGCACTGGAACAGGCTGCCCAGGGAGATGGTGGAGTCACCAACCCTGGAGGTGTTTAAAAAAAAAGTAGATCTAGCACTTGAGGCTATGGTGTAGTGGTTAGGTATGCTGGGATGAAGGTTGGACTAGATGATCTTCAGAGGTCCCTTCCAACCCCGAAACATTCTGTGATTTTGTGAAAGAGCTTAACAGGAAGTTTTCTATAGGTTGCCACTGACCTTTTTTGTGTGAGGTGAAAGAAGATCTGTTTAGCCCATTCAGAGCGTAGACTTTCTGAATGTGTGTCTGGGGGCTGGAATTTCTAGTCATTCCAGGCAATAGATAGCAAAACTTGAAAGATCTCCTGAACATCTGCTCTGGAGGCTGCTAAAGCCATTCCAGTGCATTTTTCCAGACTGAAGGTTTATCACCGGTGTTGAAGGCAAAGCTATGATGTTCCACAAAAGAAAACAGACAACACTGCAGATGTCCTCAGAGTTCCTGTGACAGCTATGAGAGAAGGCAGAAAATCCCCTACAGTTTCTGCCAAACTCCTGACTTTTGTGGGGAAAATTCATCTTGGCGTCATTGATTTAACCCTTAGCGTGCTTACAAGAGCAAGTGTTTTTTGGTTTGGTTTACTAATACAGTTAACGATGCCTCTCAGGTGAATCCTGGTGACTGCAGTGGCTGTGAATACTACAAGAGAGGAGGAAAACAGACAGCACTGCTGCTTTCAGGCCATTGCTTTTACATGGCTTCTCTTTCTGCTTAATATGCAACACTGGCTCAGTCTAACAAAAACCAGCCAAAATACTGTCTTTGCAGCAGCACCTGTAGGAGAGATGCCTCCTCTGGAGTCCAGCTGTGAGACAGCAGAAGAGAAATCAGAGCCAGCGGTAACACAGACAGTAGCTTTGGGTGATGGCCTCAAACAAGTAAGTGGCTGGACAAGCGATACGTAGCTTTTTCGTGTCTTAGTCTAGGGGGGTGATCTTCTTACTGCTTTGGTTTCTGTTGAATTTGCATTGTTGATGCACTGCTGCTTCCAAAAATTTTTCTATGTGTTTTAGATGAATCTGGAGGTGACTAGAAACATACTGACCTGCTGTGCAGCTTTATATGCCATTCAGCCTAGCTCTTGTCTCTTTCTGGTCTTGAGATCTATGTTACAGATCATTCAAGGTCAGTTAAGCATGATCTTGGTCCCTGATAATAGCAATAGCAGTAATTTTGTCAAAATATGTGACATGACTTCAGTTCCTCTCCATTATTCCTTACAGGAATAGGAGGAAGATATTTTTGTTTCACCTCTCTTTACACTGGAGGGAAGAAAGAAGGAAGGAAGGGAGAGAGTGTGAAAATAAATGCTTCTATCATAGGGAAAGTTTTAATTCAAGTCTGATACTCAGTAATTCACAGGTTCCCAGGAAAGCAGAATTCTTTTTTTGCCTTAGTGGAAAGGCTAGTCACGTGTGTTCAGTGCATGATGAGACATCTGAGTGGTACCTTCCTCTTATCCCTTTGTAGCGTCAAGATTTGGAGCGATCACTACTGGAAAAGTTGATATCGACTCCAGAAATCCCCCCAGATGCTGTTCAGGACAGAAGCCTTTGTGGTTTACCGCCATTGGAGAGAGGGTGCATGGTAGGAGTCTTGGTGGGGTTCATCGTCTCTCCCAGCCAGTTCTACATCAACGTCTGCCGCAGGGAAGCACCCTATGAACTGCAGGACATGATGTTTGAGATGAGGTGCGAACACGCTGTGCTGATGCAGTTCTGTTACTCAGTGTGTGTTTGTGCTGAGGGAACAGGGAACCCAGCTGTTGGTTATAGTCACTGCTGGCTTGATTGCTTCATATGGAGATGCTGGGTCTGCACTGAAATGCACACTTAAAATGCTTACCTGTTCTTTTTAACTAACAAGCAAAAAATATCGTTAATAGCAATTTGGCCGTGTCCTAGACAGTCCTGAACATAAAGCATGTAAAGGTTATGGAAAGGAACTTGAGGGTTCTTCTGTACCTCTCTGTTTTCTGTACTGCTGTTGCTAATGTGCTTGGCTAAGGCTTTTACTTCCACCTCCAGCACTTGCAAAAAGCCGTGGGTAATAGGCCTTTGCCATATCTGTGTTCGAAAGCAGAACACCCTCAGTGGCTTTGTTACGTTATGCATCTGGGATCCTGTTCCACCATGACAATGCTACAGTTGCTGTTTATTGTGTGCCAGAGTAGATGCCTGATGGCCGTGGGGCGTGCGTAAGTGTGATTACGGACTCTGCAGACAGATACTGTGTGTATGAGCCTGTGTTCTAGAATCTGGTTCGTGAGAAGTACTGACTTGTAAAGGTAATATTATGATGGCTGTATCTAGCCTCTGATTAATCATCATTAATTAACTTTTTGTTGGACCGCAAGAATATCATTCAAATGTTAAAAGTTTGGGGTTGCATTTTTTTATTATCATTTCAGTCCAAGTGTGGCAGAACAGAGGTGTAAAGGATCTATTGAAACAACTCCTGAAAATTCAAGTTATGGGGACCTTGAGAAATTGGGATTCTTCTGAAGTTCTGTATATTTCTCTTTTTTCATCTCCTGCATCCTACCAAGCACAGTTTCTTATTATGATCTTTTGCAGACACCTTTACTCACATAAACTCGTTTCTGATCGTTACATCATGCCTGAGTCTTCAGTACGGCCTGGACAGCTTTGCTGCATAATGGTCGCAAATTGGTGGTACCGTGTTATCATCCACCGTGTCATCAATGATGAGAAAGTAGAGGTGTTCTACGCAGATTATGGAAACCTCGAAATTGTCCGAAAGTCTTGCCTGAGATTCCTCAAGTAAGTAAATTAGACGTGGGTGACAGAATCATGGAGTGGTTGAGGTTGGAAGAGATCTCCGGGGGTCGTTCTGTCTAACCTCCTGGCTCCAGCAGGGCTGCCTAGGACGATGTTGAGAAGATTTTTGAATGTCAAAGGTGGAGGCTCTGTGACCTCTCTGGGAAACCTGTTCCAGTGCTTGGTCGCCCTCATCCTGAAAATGCTGCTTTCCACCTGGTCAGCCCCCAGCATGTACTGAGGCATGATGATATTTCTCCTTAAATGCAGGACCTCGAACTTCATGAGGTTCCTGTCAGCCCGTTTCTCTATCCTGCTGAGGTTTCTCTGAACGGCAGCATGACCCTCTCGTGTGTCAGCCACTCCTCCCAGTTTCATTATCGTCAGCGGACTTGCTGAGGGTAGACTCTCCCCTATCATCCAGACCAGTAAGGGAAATGCGGAGTGGTATCGGACCTGGTATTGACCCCTGGGTACACCACTGGGTTGTGGCGTCTAACTAGGTGTCGTGCCGCTGATCTTTGGGCCTGGCCCTTCAGCCAGTTCTCAGTCTTCCTCACTGTTTGCCTGTCCAGCCCGTACTTCATGAGCTTGTCTATGAGTATCTTACAGGACACAGTGTCAGAAGCCTGACAGAGGTTAAGATCAACAATACCCACTGCTCTACCCTCACCTTCCAGGCCAGTCATTTCATTGCAGAAAATTGTCCAGTTGGTTAAGTGTGACTTCCCCTTGGTGAATCCATGCTGGCTACTTCGTCACTTCCTCGTTTTTCATGCACCTGGAAATAGTTCCCAGGAGAAGTTGTTCTGTCGCCTTCCCAGAGACTGACGTCTTTAGAAAAACATCCCAACACGCAGATTTCCTAGAAAGGATCCGAGGTTTTATTCCATAATGGTGCCTTGCAGGCATCTCCTTACTTTCTGGTACTTGAAGTGACATTAAGACCTGTTCTGCTGATCACTCTGAGCTCTTTGCTTATCAGCCCTGTCCATCACTGCCTCACAGTGACTTTAGTCTAAATCCTTTCCTGTTTCTGCTTTCACTCCGCAGTTTTTCTTCTTGCTGCTTTCTGTCACCTTGAGGCAAGCTCCCTAATCCTCCTTCCTAGGTTCCATGGATGTAAACATCCTCCAGAGCAGACATCCATCAAAGTGGGACACATGCAGCGTCAGAAGTAGTCGTTCTCCTCTGCAGCTCTGTACCTTTTCCATATTTGCTTCTTCCCTCTCATTTTGCCTTTTTTCATGCCTGGCCATTGACATTCTTTGGTTCAGAAGTCGTTGCTCTCTGTCCATAACTTGGTAACCATAAGGGGTTTTAATGGGAAAACATGTGGGCAAGGGAGGGCATAAGGAACCACTTGTTATTGCTGCTTCTGCTGTGCCCATTCTTTGGATGTGGAATGTTTTCCAAAGCTGCTGCAAGGTTTTAGTTGAAAGTGCAAAATCCAATACATGCCTCTTCATTCCTAAGCTGATTTTAAAAAACAGAAGAGGAAGAAGTTCAGCTCTGCTGCCTGGTTTTGTTCTGATTGTGCTCTAATGGTGATGACTTTATTTTATATTGTAGGTGGTGCTACTTGAAACTGCCTGCTCAGGCCATCCCGTGTTCCTTGGCAGGGGTAAAACCTGCGGAGGTATGTGTTCACATGCGGTTTTGTTTATTGGCATATGTGATAGCTGTCAAGTAGAGGTTGGCTTTTTCTCCTGGTAAGGGCAGACGTTTGGATTTATGCAGGTCTTGTTGATGTTCACAGCAGAATTGCTGCTGTTATGTTCAGCAGAGCATGACTGTGTAAGTCTCTGTCTCTGCAGGTGATCACCTTTCTGTCTGTACATTCTTACTTGTAGTGTTGCAGGAAGGGATAGCTCCCGTTAAGCAAATAAACAAGCTTGTTTCTTCCCCTGACATTAGTTCTCCAGGTTCTGAAGCCTTGGTAGCTCCATCCTTCTGTTTTAAAAAATTGATTCTGCAACAGAGGTTTAAGTTAGTTGGTTTGATGCAGTCGGCATAAACAAAGAGTTATAGAGGTCATAAGAAAGTTCCTTTATTCTGGAAGCTCTTGGTCATGAAGCCTGAGAAATACAATCCATGAAGGAAAGCATGTGAAGAGAGTTGCTGCATCTGTTTTAAAGCTATTATTTTGTAAAAACTATTTCCTCTGGTTTTTGAGGGTTAGAGAATCAGTTTTTATTGCAGTGAGGCTTAGCAGCTTCTTAGAAACGTTTGACTCATTTAACATTTATAATCACGTGACTCCAGGAATATAAAAAACCAAACAACAAAACCAACTGTATTTTAGGTAATTGTGATAAAATCACTGGTGAATGCCGTTGAACTGTAGGTATTTAGGATAAAAGGGCATTCCCAGCACAACTACCATTGCAGGCTTTGGGGTAGTTTGATTTAGTTCAGTGCTGGGAAGTTTGTGTGCCTGACTCTCCTGTATTTGTCCCTAGCCTGGCCTAGCTTAATTGCTTTTTTGACAAGTGCCCACAAGAGAAAGTCTCAGGCAGTGGATGTTGGTCTGTTTATAGCACCTTTTACATTCTTGTTTCTTCAGAATACGTGGCCCAATGCAGCAACTCTCCTGTTCGAGCAGCTGTGTGGCACCAACCTCCTCGTGGGCCTTGTGGATGAATATGTGAATGGCATTTTGCACCTTTTCCTGTGTGACACATCCACCAAGGAGGATGTCTACTTCCACACTGTCCTGAGGAGTCAGGGATATGCTGAAGGCTGCAGAGCGAACATTCCTTCCCAGGTCAGGAGGGAGGCATGTGCTGCTGAAAGGAAGGGCAGGGAAAGGATTGGTTGGGTGCCTGTAACGCAAAGATCTGCAGCTTGAAACAAGTGATGTTGTGAAGAGCAAAACTGGTGCTCCTTGCTTTCTTGTAACTTACTAGTTTGTGAGTGCATCCCATGGTATCCAACTCTGTTTCTTTTTGGTTAAGGTAGAATCTGATGATGCAGCAGAGATATTCTGGTTTAGTAGGACAAATTATTTTCATCCTACCTTCTAACAGTGGATTAGAAGGTTTTGATTTTTTTTTTCTTTTAAGCTGATGAGCTCTTAGAATTGTAGCTTCATCTGAAGCTGATGCATATCTGTC